AATGTCCTTATCTTTTATTAAAACTCTATACGAGTATTTATTAACAGTTATTATAACAATCATGCGTGTATTAATTTTGTAGTACCTACTAAGGTGTAAGTTAATATTGGTAACATATATGATATAGCCACACTATACTTAAAATGAATCTTTCAAATCACCTAACTAAAGAAATAGAAGTGAGTATTTTAATAAAAAGAGCACGTGAAAGAATCAATTCTACAATCTCTTATTAGAACAAAGCAAAAGCTTTCGCTACGTTTTGCGGTAGCACTGTCCTAGAAATTCGTTTATTGGTTTATTTCGAAGAAAACGATAAGAATAACATAACAATGATTTTTCTAATTAAAATTAATATAAATATTACTTTTCAAATGGCTAGATATCGCGCCAGCACGGCTTATTAGCATTCACATTTCAATTTCTTTGTTTAAACAGTAAAATTGAATATTGAGAAAGCACTGCAAAAATCCATTTCGAGATCTGAGCATCTAGTATTTTCTATAGCGGAGATATTGAATAATATATGCTATTTACGATGATGATTTGAGGTTATGTAATCCCAGTGCGCTGTACACTGCAGATCGCATACGTACTGGTAACGTGGATATACTGTAATATCCCTACATATATCTCTCGTATCCTTTTGTTTATTCAAACAAACTCCATTTCTTTGATTCTGTGAGATTCCGTCGGTGATGCCTATGCTAGTGAACTTTTAATATTATTAAATATTCTCTAAAACTTGCAGTTGAAAATATTAATTAGTATCAACTACATTCAAGAGTAATTCTGAAGTTAACACTTTCATAAAATACTCAAATTCAAATTATACACAAAGTTTTTAAATGAATATCGCTTTTAACATGATTATTAAGACAGCGAGTAAAATTTTATTATAATCATTTCGTTTTTCCACGACCGGTTTGTGCATTTGAGTCGAGACGTTTCAAACCCGCATTTTTTCTACGCTATTACTTAGGGTAAACTTTTTAGGCCACCTACTTATGTAAACACATTTTACCACAACGTTGGTGTTGACTTCAAAATTTTTCAATTGTAAAATTTTATCAATCATTTTGGTAACATATTCCCTATTGCCAAGTATTAATAGCATTCTTTTTAATCCATCAAACTATCGTTTGTTTCTACATTTTGGGTTATCCAATGTATTATACAGAACTTCTAACAAGTCACAATGTGAGTTGTATCTATAGAGATTTACTTTTTTGGTTGACACTTCAATTAATGTATGTTCCTGCTTGTATTCCATGAATTTGAGGTTCTGTTACCTTTTGGGAAAATATTTACTTAATTACGAGTAGGGTACAAATTTTACTTGTGCACTCAATGGATCTACAAAATGTTTACATTCACGGAGCTGAAACTTGAGGTATTTCAGAGCTCTACTGATCTAGACATGTTGTAACAGTCAGGATTATAAGCTTCATACATAAACTTTATGGTTTCTACTCGATACTCCATGTTAAGCCTCAATTTGTCTCTAAAGTTAAATGCGCAATCGTCTATCGTCTATGATTCGGTTGACTTTACTTATATTCAAAATAGTGACCCCCCACTCGCCTTACTTCGGCCTTAACCCGCTCATCTTTTCGTGGGTTTTTATAAAAATATCCCCTAAGAAACACTTACTCTTTTTTGGGTTAAAAGGCAACTTATGTCACTCTCTAGCCCGTAAATTATCTCTATACAAAAAATCATACTGATCTGTTGTTTCGATAATGTAATACGGATAGTAAAACAGAATAATTAAGAAGAAAAATAAATATTTTTAAAAACAAGCTGTTTAAATTTTTTTTTATTGTTTTAAAATAAAAGGGTGCACTTTTTAACTCAACTGAATCATAATAGAATGCGCAAATTACGTGTCCGTGCCATTGTCTTTTTAGGAGATCTCTCATATCCTGGGCACACGCATGCAGTAGCCAGGTCATAGTAGACTTAAGTCATTTGCCCCATTTTGCGGCTGTATACATATATATATATATATTAAATTTTAGTAAATAATTGTAGTAACGAATGAATATTTATTACTAGCATTGCCCGCGGCTCCGCCCGCGTTAATATGACCAAAACCAAATTCTTAGGTTTTATATATTAGTATACTCGTATTAGTATATTAGTTGACCCGGATAACCAGCTATTATCATACCAAATCTCTTCAAAATCCCTCCAGTGATTTTTCTGTGATGCGGTCACAGACAGACAGACACACAAAAATTCTTAAAACTATAGGTTCGGCCTCTGTTACTTGTTAGCGATAATAATGTGTATTTCAATAAAATTTTCCAAAAAATATTTAAAGCATTCATTAAATTTTAATGTATCTATAGATATAACTAATTTATGAAGCCAAATAGATTGTTTTTTGATAATTTAAATACGGGCGGGGCCGCGGGTAATTTAGTAGTAATTCTAATAAAATCATAGAAAGGTCGAATTTGTACATTCAAGTTTTTGGAATTAAAACTACGTATTTTAAAGACACATGGCGACATCTATTGACAAATATCTAAATAATACAAAAATTAATTTCATTGAAATAATTTTTTTAATGAATAAAATAGTGCTATTGATATACTTTTTCAAGATTAGCTATTTTTAATAGTTTTTGGCATATTTAGTAAGTTAACTTGCTAAAATCTATATAGTATCATCGTTTTTTTATACTAACCAGTTTTTGTATTTTTTCTCAGAAATGAGATATTTTTCTGCGGTAAAAAGTATCCTATATGTTGACCCGGATAATCAGCTATGGCCATACCAAATTTCATCAAAATCTGTCCAGTAGTTTTTCTGTGATACAGTAACAGACAGACAGACAGACAAAAATTCTAAAAACTATAGATTCGGCCTCTGTATCGATAATAATGTCCATTTCAATAAGATTTTCTAAAAAATATTTAATGTACAGATTTGCCTCAGTTAGAATTTTATTATATGTATAGACTACAACTTATAATATTAATAAAAATATAAGAGATTCTGTCTTTTTACCCGACTGCGGCAAAGCCCAAAGGAGGGTCACATATTTTACCTGTATGTAAGTCTGGTTCAATGTTCCCTCGTAATTACTAAACGGCTTAACCGATTTAAATGAGTCATACGTCGTTAGATTTGTCTTGATACCATGAGTGTCATAGGTTATATAGATATAAAAATCAAAATGGCGGATCTTAAGCGTCAATTTGTGTAACTCGACACAAACAAAAATATATAGAACTTATATGCTTAAAAATAATTTAGAATAAGAAATTGTTTAATATATTAAATAAATATGTAACTGACCAAAACTAAAAAGATATTAAATAAAAAAAGAAATGAAATTAATAACCCGACTGCACCAAAAAGATGAAAATTGAGAACACGTTGTCGAAGGGAGAGTCAGAGACTGCACGATTGACGGAATGCAGAATAGGTATTATACAAGTAGCAAGACAGCAAGGATAAAACATGTAAGTATGTCTTCGACAGCATAGTACATACTGCTATGTTCCTTCGTCAATTTGTCCTCATATTTTTAGTTCGCTTTTTAAGCATTCGGGTTTTTTATTTTTGTTAATTAATATTTTGCTATTACTTTAACGGTCAAGATGAAACATAATCTCAAATATGATACGGTAATGTTTGTAATAACATTTTTCTTTAAGTGTTTATGTTGTTGCAATTCAATTATTTTTAAATAATGAATATGTTTGTCAACAGTGCCACTGAAATATTCGATTGGTATTATTATAGATTATTTAATTTTTGAGAACTTTATATATTTAAGTAACAAAATATTTTGATAAATCTTTTTTAAAACAACCATTTACATTCAAGTTCAAAGCAATGAACTTCACAAAATTCGTACAATTACTTACTAATAGACAACACACAGCCTAATCTATTGTGCCTAGAAACAAAACATTCCTTATATTCCTGTATTTCTTTTTCTTTTTTTTTTGTTGTTCACTTAAAAGTTTGTATTAATTTATGAAGTTACATAAACTAGACACACTGTATTTTATTGTCACAGCCATAATAGAACAAGAAATATATGGGAAAAGTGGAGAAATGGGGAATAGGTACCTTATTTAAAGGACTTAAATGAATAATAACTCCAAAAACGTAATTAATTTTTATTGCAATAAAAACTTTCTTCAGTTATATTAGGACTCATCACTTTACCTAATTAAAACTTTCTGCAAACAAATATTTATAATATATAAAAAATAACAATAAGCTGTCTGTCCTGATAATTAAGATCAGATTAAGGTGAATTAATAAGAATGACATGAGTTAATAAAACTAGAAAATTAAATTATATAGCTCACAAATAGATCCTTTATTGGATTCCACCTCTACGATACTTTTCATATCTCCACTTTTTTAAATCACATAATATTATACCTACGAGAATGAAAGCACTAGGCTTATAAAATATTATGCAGTAATAGATTTATATTATTTTCCTATTTAAAGTTATTATTTTAATATTTTCATAACATTTTATTAGTCTATTATTTATTTTATTGCAAAATTAAATTTGATAAATTAATGAATAAAAACATGTGCTATATTACATCTATTATATTTAATTTAGTCAGATATTATTACTGCACTTAACTGCAGATATAGGATTCTTAGACAAGATAACATTCTGCATTAATTTACGCTTTTAAAAACTAAAAAATATATATGGGAACGCCTCTTGTCTATACGTCATGAACACCGAACTCTATATAATTGTATTAGTATTTAATTTTACTCAAATATACTTTGAGGCTTTTTTATCTATAATACAAGAAAATAAAATGTTAAAATGCTTTTAACACGATTGCTAGAAAATTTATACATTTGGTTTACTAAAGAATTTCTTACTTACTATAATTGTTATTTATTAATTCGAGTTGAACTATCTACACTGCAATTTTAATCTTTGCTGTGTACTTTAATATATAATAGAATGTTTGCAAATATACGAATTTAATTACTAAATGGGCAACGGAAAGTGGAGAATGTTTACACGGCTCTGGATATTTGTAATTGTGTTGCTAAACGCACTGGCGGCGCTCGGTAGAGCTCCGGACGCGAGCTCGCACATTGCCACTACCTGTGAAGAATTCGAACGAGATGCTCAATTCAAACCTCATAAAATAGTTGATTCTATGTGGAAAATTATCTACTTTTGGTCTGACACAACAGAAGTCGGCCCTATTATATTCTCTTTAATCGAAGAAAAGGTTAGTTATCGAACAGAATTAATTAATACGAGATTACTAGTAGATAGTTTTTCCGCGCTCGACTCGTGTTCGTAACAGTAAGTAGCTTATGTGTTACTCCAAAGTCTGTCTGTGTACTTTAAATTTCATCTAAATTTGTCCAGCCTTTTCATGAAGGAGTAACAAACAAGCACACATTTTTAATAGTAAAGCTTTATTTTATGTATTAACTAGCACCTCACCCTCGCTTCGCTCGGTTTCGCCTCTAGAAATACAAAAACAAATCTATCCCACGGGAACCATACATTTTTCCGGGATAAAAAGTAGCCTATATGTAATTCTGATGTTTGAGCTATATTAATTTATTGTAAAGTTTCATTAAAATCCATTCAGAAATTCTTGCGTGAAAGAGTAACAAGATCCAAACATCTATAGTCTATACATATGTACATTCAGACATCCTCACAAACTTTCGCATTTATAATATTAGTAGAATAAATTATTTTTTAATATATTGTTAATTAATATATTATTAACATTTATTAATAAATCAGGTTACTTAAGTAGACTTCCGTCGCCTTTAAGGAAATAATAATTAATTTCGCAGAGACTTAACAGATTCAAAGCTGTAATAGATGCCTTATACCCCGACTTAGGTGTCGAATGGCACAAAGCGACGGCGATGATGGAGCCGCGGCCGGGGGTTCAAGTACTACTTCTTTGCGGTGGCACGCCGGGTGCATTTCGAGCCATCATTAAAATGGAACAACGTGATAAAGGTAATTACAAAGGTTTTACTTAATGTGAATTAAAAGATGAAAAACTAATGTTAACATATTTCCAACTACTTTTTTCTATTCAACAAGAATTTGTGTAAAGGTTTTAGGTACTCTATAGTAAAGTGTATTGGTATTATATCTATATTGGTGTATATATGCAAGCACTCCAAACACTTTTTAGCCCTTGTCAAGATAGAAGTGCGCAATAAAGGTGCGACAGTAATGCTGCCAGTACATACCCTCCCGCGCGCCATTTCCGCTCCTAACTTTCACGACTTGACTCATAATGATAATAAACAGGCCGCCTTTTAAATGTTTTTTCCAGATTTTTTTGCTAATGTTTATGCCGGTAACGGGGAAACTCGTTAGCTGACAGTAAAATATTTTATATTCTATACACTTAAAAAGGTTACCCGGTGGAAAGTCACTTATACGCACGAGAGCTGTTGTAGGAAGGTCATGGTCGTAGATTGTTATTTCTGTTTGGACATCTTAGGTACTAAACACTCAGGAAAATATATTACAGATAGAATAGTATATTGTTTTTAACTTTGTAGTCTATATAAGACATAAGTTTATTAAAATATTTTTTATAAAATATACTATTTGTAGGAAACACTTGTAGTTCCAGCCACCCAGTCCTATCTCGAGAGTCGTCCAATAACTAGAGCTTATTAAGTGTATTAATAACTAAATCTATTTTAAATTACTTATAAGTATGCAGGCACTAACGTAGTTTTACATTTTCATCCTAACATTAAAGAAAAATTAAATATGATAGGTATCCTTCTAATTAGGAAAAACACGGATTATTAAATGCATATAAGTTTTTCTTTTTTTTTCTTGTTTGCATGCAGGATAATGTACGTATATAAGTCGTCTTAATCAACTATAACATATGAGTTCCTTAATAAAATCAAATTCCATTACTATGCAGAGAGACCGAATCCGGAACCGCTTATAAAAATGGCCGACGTGAGAATGAAGCTGAAAGGACGGTATATTGGAATGATGTGCTGTGAAGATCTCACTGCTTTTGTATTAGTTAGAACCAGTGAAGTACCGACTACAGAAAAAGAATGTGTTGAAGCTGCTACATCCCTCGGCCTCAAGGGTCCAGGAGGCAGATCATATATTTACATAAAAAATGTAACCCGTAATGAACTTTAGTTAATTTATATCTTTAGTGACTTCACGTAACAATTATAGTAAATATTTTACTATAATTGTTACGTGAAGTCACTATTAAATATTTTGCCTAATAAGACTGTAAACTTGTGGTAAGTAAACAATTATTGCTGGCATGGTAGTAAGTTTGTTCGAATGATAATCCTTGCGGTTAAGAGCAGTGATGCGGTGCACCACGAAAGCCGCTTGCAAACCTATTTCTGTTTCTGCATATCTACTTACATACAATAGACGACACGTTTGGCTCGGTTTGTAGCGACCCCACTTGCTGTGCCAGTGGTCGCGGGTTCGAGTCCCGCTGGGGGTATTCATTTGTATGATGAGCACGAATGTTTGTTCTCTAGTCATGGGTGTTTATATTTATAATATGTATGTATTTAAAGTTATATATGTGTAGTGTATCAACTATCTGGTATCCAAAACACAGACCTCGTAGCTTACCATGGAACTAGATGGTGCTGTGTGTTCATGTCCCAACATATTTATTTATTTTATTTATACAAATATGTAATCTAGCAGAAGCAACTTCAAAAATATTACACAACAATCTTATTCACATATTATTGTGTGTCGTATTTGTGATATAGGAATTTTATAAAATAAGTATTTTGTGTTTATAGAAAAATATTATGAGCACAGTCAAAAATGACGTTATATTTCGAAACAATTTAATACCTGTGAGGCCTGTTGGGGCCTGTAGGTACTGTCACTAAAATGAATATACATGATATTCTGCTACCTTTTATAGATTCGTAATGTTTTAGTGAATAATGTGTGTAACATGTAGTATATATTTTGTAGTCCCGATCTCATAATAAATCATTGATCCGCGCTAAATCCTTCGTAACCCTCCACGCTGGGATTACAATTATTATAGACATAACGGTCCCATCGGCAGTTTTCGTAAAAGAAATTCATTGTAAGCGTAAAAGCAGTTCAGATATGATTTATCAGTATATATATTGTAAATAAAAATATTTAAATACAAAAAAAAATTTGCAAAAAAAAATTTATAATTTATATTAAGCATTAACAAGACCTAAATGTTTAATAAAATTGCTAAGTTTTTATTATAAGGCGATCTAATTTTGCTTAATAATTTTCGATTCTACTTACAGTTTTCTAGTATTTAAAAATTATTTTAGTTTGGTTTTAAAAATTTGAAATATACCTATTGTTTTTATTAAGTAATATGTAGTATTATTACATATTGCTTTGACGGATGAATATTGTTACTGTTTCATATATCGTAACAATAAATTCCATTTCGTTATTACGTAAAGCAAATATCGCACTTCTCCCAAAGACAAATTTCAGCCGTCAAAGAAACTGCTAATGAAAATACTCATTAGTCTGCCGTTTCAAATTTAGTCATCAACACAATTAATTTAAAAAATTAGTCTTCTAAACAATAATTAATATATAAAGATATATTAGTAGCAAAGAATCCATGATTATTAATGTAAATATGTAAGTGTTTCTATTTCTTTTGATAATACCTAACTACATACATTGATACTAAAAATATTGCATTTTCTTGTTGAATTCTCCACACTAACATGCAATGGTTAAAATCTGCATTCAATAACACATATGTAGGTATCTCGAGAATCTTATATTCTGCGGAATAAATATATTTTCCTCCGAAGCACACTAGACGTCAACAAATAAGGTTATTTTTCAACGGAGGTCTTATTCATTCTTTGAGTGTACAGCCCAAGTCAACAGCTCCTTTCAATAGTATATTAAAGTTGTTGATTTATATCAGACTTACCCCTTTCAAGGGGCCATACTTAAACTTTAAACAAAGAAGGCTATCCCAATAATTATAAAACAATGTCAAAACTTTTAGAAATTTAAATGTATAGGAAATAATATATTTTACGGATTGCATGGATTTCTACCGTTGCGTATTTTGCATGGGGTTATTTTTACAATATTTTATAACTTATTTGTATTCGTGAGATCGTGAATGAAAAAATGCTAATAAGTATTTTTTTTATATTCTCTGTTATTTTGATATGAGTAAAATAATAATATACGTGTAGAATTGAGAACCTCCTCCTTTTTTTTCGTCGCTTAATAAATAGCAATTAAGTCCATATCGACGTGACAAAGTCTTTCGAAATAGGAGTTTTAGAACAGGAAAAATTTTGACTAGGCACCTACATTAGTTAAGATTGAAAATTCCTGGTATACAATTATGAGACTCATTATCGAAATTACAATTAGAAAAAAACCTATAAAGGAAATATAAAAAAGTCGCATTGGTTCGATAAAAACAAACTCCAAAAATTTTGATTAGGTGAACCTACAGTGGAAATAAAAAACTATTAAATTATTTCTTATTATAGTACTTTGAAGTTGGTTCACGTTATAAATTTTGTTTTCTGAGTTATATTAAAAAAATTAAAAAGACATGATATAAAAGAAAGTAAGTTAAAAATTCACTAGATATCTAATGAATTTTACTTTCATTCAAAGACTATTTGAAAACTCTTGAAAAACTTTTCTCAAAACATTTATTTAGGAAAAGGAAAGTTGGCCTAACTAGGACAACTTATGATTTATTCGTCGTTAATTAACATATATAGCTGTATTACAATTGTGAACCACGTATACAATTCTAATACTTTCTATTATAATTGTAATATTTTCAATTCTAATATATGTTAAAATCAATCCATAATTTTATTATAAGTATATATTCATGTTTTCTGACTTCGAAGAAACGTCATAATAAATATCTGTTCACTTAATTTTTGCTTTGTAGTTTTAACCTAATCTATCAATAATGTCTGGAAGATAAAAGCTTCAAGCAACAGAAGTTTAAAATAGTTACACCTATTTCAAAAACTAAGTTAATTACTGGTTATAAATTATCTACTATAGAGCGTTACAGCGTTGTAATATATTCAAAAGTGCTATCGTTCAGCCTCCTCGACAGGAGGCCTACTGGAAAGCTTGTTTTATTAAATGAGAAGATTTACCGTAACTTCAAATAGCATTCCGGTGTCAAAATTAAATATTTACGGAGGGAATCATTTTGGTTGAGTTTTTATCTTTTTTCAACATTCCAAAGGTAATTAAATATACACATATTCGTAAATGCACAATATTAAACTTTTAGTATTTTATTCGTGCCTCTTACATAATACCATATTTTTATGTTATCTCGTAATAAAAATATTGCAACTGTTTAATTGATTTCTTGATAATGTCTTATTTATTAAAATAAGCAGTCAGGTGTCCCTGTTCTCATACTTATATAATTTAGGAGTTGTTGTAAATTATTTGTATTGAATAAAATACTTACATAACAAACAACATAAATCTCCTGAATTCTATAAGATTGGCTCGGCTAAAAACATTTTTATATTTCTACATCAGTTAGGTAGTGTATTAAAAATATCAAGAATTCTTTCATAATATTTTATATTTCGATACAGAAACTGTTTCTGCTTGGCACAAAATAAGCTTAAGCCATCGACGGACTTATTATTTTCTGGCCAAATAAGATACCTTCGTCAAAACGGTTTTCTTCTAAATCCATTGAGTCCTTACTCTCACCGAAAAATGATACGAATCTGATAATATTGTCCCCAGCACGTCTTTCCATTTACAGTATTCCGGTGGAATTTCTATTAGTGAGCGTGCTTTTCCATTCGACGCAGCCATAAAAAAGTCCTTTGTCAAATGAATGTTTTTTGAACCTCCCGAAACAAAACGCTTAACTTACAGTGCTTGAAGTGACTATAAAACAAACGTTGTCTTTATTGATATTGCCGCCACTTGGAGTAAAATTGGAAAAATAATTAAAGTCTCGCTACATTGTAACTTAATTGTAGACTTGTTCTAGTGCACATTTTTCTTCTCTTCACCTGCACTCAACTATGTAGAAACGATAAATTTGAGCAAATTAAATTTACTACAAGTAAATCCCTTGAGTACCTACTAGGTTACTTACGTACGTCTAAACTACAAAAAGATAACATTAAGTATCACATTAATTTTTGACGCTCAAAGCCGTTTAAAGTTTTCAAAATTCAATAAAAAATATACCAAATACTTAGTCCCAAGTAATAAATAAAAAAAAATTGACAATACCTTATAACAAATGATCATTTTAACGCTATAGCTAGATGGAGTAGGATAAAGTGAAATATACGTGCCTTAGGGGTAAGATAAATACTCGACCATTAGGCTTATATAAAAATAGAAAAGATATTTCAGCTATTGAAATTTAATCATTTTTCGTAGTCTAATTAACGGTAATATTAATTTACATTAACTTTTAATTTTATATTGCTCCAGGCTATTTTACTACGTATAATGAAACAATTGTTTGTTAACTTTAAAGAAATCTATGGATATAAAAACTTTTTAACAAAAACATAAAAACCTTCAAACAAAAGCATTAAAAAGTAAAAAATAACTGATTGGTAGTTTTCATTTACTATACATACCTAATCAAATATATTCGAAGTCGGTGTGCTTTGCTTTATATGGCCTGGCACCGATTTCGAAAATATTTGATTAGGTATGTATTTAATAGGTAGGCTTTAATTACTTAGCCAAAGCACACCGATGTTATACATGCGGCCGTTAACAATTTTATACTCGTAAATCTAGTATGCTACTTTTATGAATAGGACCGTTAACATACACTTCTTTTAGAACAGATTTATACTTAGACCAATATATTTTTACTTGTACTTAAAAAAATCTCATTGATAATAAATGGTAAATTATTTTTGATTTAATATTGTAAAATGCAAAACAGGATATTTTTTTGTGTGGCGCGCTGTGGAATTGTAAAATAATATTGATTTTAACATCATCTACCATAACATATAATTACAAAATGATTACCTTACATATGAAATTTACAAAAAGGTTGACAATATTCATATTATATGTCGTATATCTAAAATCCTCTTTATATATTTTCTAAACTTAATAATCTTTTAAATATATTTAGTAGGTACACAGTACCAAAGTTATACACTTAAGTAGATATATTTTGTACATAGTAGCCTTCAAGTCAAATTCAAGGAACATATTTAAGTCAAGTAGTTGTTCTTTCATTACTGAACACGTCGCCTTGTCATGACCAAAACATCTTTGCTTTTCTCAAGAGGCAGAACCGGCTTTCGTGTCATCCACTTCTATTTTTAGGTTTCTTGTCCATATTTTACAACATTTCTAATTATTTTCCTGCGGTTTGAGAGATATACATATATGTATATGACCGCAAATGCGTGTTGAGAACATTATACTTTCTACATTTTTAAACATGTGTACCTATTCTAATATTATAAAGAGGAGAAATTTGTTTTTTTGTTTGTTTGTATCGAATAGGCTCCAAACCTACTGAACCTATTTAGATAAAATTTGGTAAGAAGATAGTTTGAAACGATGGGAAGGACATAGGATAGTTTTTATCCCGAAAATCATTCCTTAAGAGGGTGAAAATGGGGGTAAAAGTTTTTATGCGGAAGCAAACTAGGGACGAATCCGAAGCGAAGGTGAGTCGCTAGTTTACAAATAAACAGATATGAATGTCACGAGCAACCTTTAGGGTACAAAGTATATGTTTAATAAAGAAATAAAGTTAAGACACAAATGAGTCATATTTTATAAAAGTAAATTATGAAACAGAAATTGATTTTTTCGTTCTTTGTCACGAAATGGTTTCCGGAAGCTTATTTAAGAGGTTTTATCAGCATAAAACGCGTCCGAAATCTGATATCTTATTTTCTTTGACCACACCTAATGCAGCAACCAATAAACTGGTCACGTTGAGGTTGTTTATTGTTATAGCAACAACACTGGGCCAAATATCGGAACTTCTAATTTTGTTTGACGTCTCAATGTTTGGCGGAAGAAATGTTTAGAAAAATATTCTTCTTCCTGTCTCTATCCCTTAAGTAAAATTCATAAGGATGAATAATAATTAATAAATCAACAGTGCCCACACCAACATCCTTTCTACCTCAATACAGTGTGGCCCGTAGTACAGGTATAGTATTATAGAAGTAAGCTTTTGGATATTTGAAGAGTATAAAAGCCTTAAATGTACAAATACTCAAATGGTGATAAGCATTTAAACAACCAATAAGCATGGACAATTTTCGAGCGCGAGCTTAATACCCGCTAATACCGGAAATCCGCTTGGTGACCGCTGCGCCAACACTGTAGTCGAATTCATCGCATAAAATGCAAAAAAATATATATAAAATTGAAAATTAAATTTAAAAATATACCTAATATATAAAATATTTAAATAATACTTAACCAACTCCTGCACGACGCGACGGCCCAAATGGTATGTGGGCAAATCTTTAGGAGCTATCGTATATATACTTATTCAAAAACTATATAAAATAATTAATAATAAAAAAACATGTTTTTCGATTTTTATTTTAGGTAAAATTTGTACTTACTAGTTACGAGTACTATCGACAATATAAATATTACCTTTCCTATATTTATAATATGTAGACATTCTACGAGTATAACCATTGTTAAAACGTTATAGATATCGTTCATTGTCATTATTTTCTATAGATAATTGACAACTATTCTTATGATGATAATGAAAAGTGTATTCCTACCCCCTACGAATAATTAAACCTGGTAGTATTGTGATGATGTTACGTCACGCATAATCATCGCAGTCTGTTACTTATGTCACTGCACAATTCCCGAAATTTACCTTTGTGACATTATTAAAATTGTGTCAACACGAGGCTGTGGCGGCCGCCCGCGCCGGTAAGATTACAGCTCCGGCGGGCGTCACGGCGGCTGCGGGCGTCGCGGCAGTCGGCGCTCGTCGCCCGTCCGCTCTCCGGTCCAGTACATACAGCCTCCTCGCCACCCTTGTATGGATTAATCGCAGCCAGCGGAGAGCGGACCAGTGCGAGCCACGCACGCCCCGCAGTCGCTCGTCCCGCCCGGGCCGCTACGTACCCCACGCGTAGCGCGACAGCTACGAGACGTAACCTTTTGCTACATCGCGCCTTGCATCGGTGTACCTTTGACGAGGCTATTTTAAAATATGCCCTTTATTCATATAATTTCTTGTTCAAATTACGAGACCAACGCCATGTTAATATTTTACGAAAAGCAACGAGACAAAAATTAAGTGCTCCTTTTCTTGGTATTTCAGTGCTTATTTACCTTTAAGAGTAAGTATTTTCTACTTTAACAAGTTCAAATTCATCATTAATAACTGAATATTTCGTCTATTTCTAATTAAAATTAATTTAACATTAAGTTAACGCATTGTCATCTAATACAAACGAGCAATATAAATATAGAATATATTAAGTTCTTTAAGGGAATCCTACATTAAAGTTACGACAATATAACAGTTATATAGCTATTATATAAATTTATAAGTAAAAAAAAATGATTTACTCTTATTTCTTAAAAAATATTTTAATATTTATTTGCAATATTTCAAAAATATCTTGGCAAAAAACAATTTATAATTTTAAGTCATGGTAACTTGTGTTCACTTCTTAGTTGCATGACTATCTTATTAAATAAATATTTGCATTTGTTAAGTTGTTATGAAACTTCTTCAAAATTTTCTTGAAAGCTTTGAGTAAGAGTTCATCAAAAGACCGATGACTTACGTGATCAAACGAGAATGTGAAGTAGCTTGAATCGGCCGCTTTGTTTGTAGTAAAAGCGTCACTCCAATGACCTAACCTGACCCGTTTTCTGGTAATATTATTAAACAAATATTGGATGGCTAGTAGGAGGTACATGATACTAAAGATATTATATATTTTAATCAAATTTTAAACATTACAAAATACCTGCTTTGTTACTTGTGACAGATTAAAATTAATTTTTCTTTTACTATGTTTACTTTAGCCTGAACTCCTTAAATTCAATTTTATAAATTACATTTCCTTAACTGAGGAAAACCACATTTTCTTGCTTTCGCAATTCATCGCTCTGAATGCGTTACACTTAATTTTCTGCGCGAGATTCATTATAAATTCATTACACGTATTCTATCTTTGAAATTTTCGAGTCATAAATGGTTGTTTTTATTTTATTCTCTCAATTTATTTTTGCATGAAAAACTCAGACTCGATTGCAAATGGAGGCCAATATTCAATAAAAGCTTGCAATACCTACACCTCTGTACTTTTGTTCATGTACATTTTTAGGTACATATATTCTGTTCCGAAACAAAACCAGCCAAACGGAATTTTTATGTGACTTTTTCTATTCAAATTGTTTTATACCACGTCGCATCCGTGACTGCACTTATATTTATTTATTTATTTATTCATTTAAGTATATTAGCAGTAGGTATATGTATAACAAAATAACTTAACGATAATAACTGCATTAGTATAAAACTGTGTCGAAATTATTAGCGCCCGCCTCACAAGCGTCGTAAATGATAAGAAACTTAATGCTACACATATTAACAAAAGTACGCACAGCAAAAAAATTAAATATCTAATTAAACAAACAAAAATACCATGACAAGAACAAGATTTAAAAAAAAAGCAAAAAGATGATACTAGTATGTCCATAAAAATAGTCTAATATACTTATACTATTCATGGATAGGTAGGATAGGTACTACTCGTATAGACCTTATAGTAAGAAAGGAATTTTAAAATTAGTTTCTTTATTAAATAAAACTATTTTTTCGGATTATTTCGCGGATTTATTTTGATTTTTACCTACCTTTTGTTAATTGTGGGTAGGCTGTCTGTAACAACTATATCTTTAAGACATGTAACACCTCAGTCTCTCCCGTGACCATGGATGCTGTAAAGCATTCGAAACGTCGGGAACCAAAAATCAAAATAAATCCGCGAAATAATCCGAAAAGATAGTTTTATTTAATAATGTCAAACATTCGCGTAAATCTAAGAAAGAATTAGTTTCTTGATTCTTCTAATAAAGCAAAATTTTAAATTAACCATTAATTGTTTTCATTTTGTATGTATTTTAAAATCTAATAAATATTTAATAACCTGCATGATAAATCCAAAATATTTTTAATTTCTTTGTCTCGCATAGTAGTAAAAGAGAAGTTTATATATTAAGTTTTACGTCTGTACCTACTTGTTCTTATTAAATTGTAAATTTTTTATAGTTTCAGTATTAGAGACAAAAAAACTCAACAGTTTTAAGCTTTTTTGGTGACAATTTTTGTTTTGTGATATTAGACGATGTGGTATTATATTTACCTAGATTATTAATATTATTATTTTGAAGCACCAGATATTTCGGCCCTATGAGAAGCCAATGATGTATCAAAATATTGGGAAGTCAAAAGTCAAAATAACAATAAAAGCAAGTGGTATATATCCAAAATGTAGAGTATGTAAACGAGTGGGTATGTAAAATAATACATATGTACAAAGTACATATGTTAGGCTAGATTAAAAGTATAAAGATATAAGTCTTAAACTTTTAAATTTCCTCGAGTGAAAATACGAGAGAACCTCGGCTTGCGGTATCATATTATGTAGGTATACTCTCACTACATGTACAATGGAAAACTTACTTTAAATACATATTTAAATTAAGTAATTGACTGTCTATCGCTTAATTTAAATTAAGACATACATTCATGTACTCCTTAATCTCACAACCAATACGTTATTCAAATATTGAATGATGGCACGGAACATACATGGATGTACGAGTTCGACTCGTATTTGACCGATCTTTATTTTAATATTTGCTAATTAAATTTTAATGGAATCGCAGGATTACCTAAATATCAATTGGATGAGTTGAGGGATAATAAATACACGAAAACATCAATCACCCGCTGTCCGAAATTGATGAGAACGAAACTAATATAGGTTGAATTATAATTGAGTACCAACACTTAAAAAGAAATCCATTTTGATTTTCTTGATAACTCACCTTCTTACCATTATATATTTTTTATAATTTTTATTCTCATTTTTTTATTATTTTCTTCATTTTAATAAGTCATATAATAGACTAGCGAAATACCCTCGCTTCGTTCAAGTGCGTCCCTAGGTATGTTTTAAATAGATAAAAATAGTTATTGCGACCTTAGGAGATAGATATAATATATAGGCCTTTTTAAGACCTAAAATTTTTTAGTACATTGTTTTGATGTACCTATCTCTTAAAGATTAGCCAGCATTGGCCATGTGAATTTCTAAGGACGACTCGTTAGAACCGGATATTGCGTTTTCGGTTATTTTTCCGTGGGAATAAAATTTTTTTGCGTGAAATGCACACAGATATACAGACAAACAGACAAATAGACAAAGAAATATTTAATAACTATTGTTTCGGGGTCTATATTCGATACACAATAATTTACAGTCAGTTTTTAAAAATATTGTACGTACAGGTTTCGTTTTGTTACTTTTTTTAACCGACTTCCAAAAAGGAGTTTCTCAATTCGTCGGATTCTTTTTTTTATGTATGTTCACCGATTACTCGAAGATGCCTGAACCGATTTGGAAATATATTTTTTTTGTTTCAAAGGGTATGCTTCCCAGGTGGTCCCATATAAATTTTATCGAAAGCGGTTTTTTTTAAATCAACAAATAAATTATTATTTTTAATAAATTGCTTAATTGAACATGTTATTAAAAAAAACTGTCTTCTAACAAATTACCTGGTTATTACGTTATTACGTCTACACTAAAATTGGACAAATAAAAATTAACAAAAACAAGAAACGACTTTTAGGCACTAAAATGTAACAAATAACTAAACGGGGGTTTTCATTTAGAATAGATACCTAATCAGATATTTTCGAAGTCCGTGCCAGTCGACAATATTTTAAGATATGAACATCTAATAGATAAATATGTGTTTTACGTATCGAAATATATTAGATTTGCTTTGCATCGGCTAATTGATGAAGAATATCGATTAATTATATTTAAAGCCATGCGTATACCTATGTTAAGGTCTCAATGTACCACATAAGTTGATTATTTTTATCATATTTAAATCTGATTTATTCCTTTGTACATACGAGTACATATAAGTTATTGAAATGTTATTCATTATAAGCACGACGTTTGTTTAATAGATATGCTAATTAACCTCGCCTTACAAAAGACGTACATATGTACGATTTTCTTTAAGAACGCTCAGTTTACTCTTTTATATTCTTACATAATAATATTCCGTAGCGCGAAATATCTATATGAATGGAATTATATTTCCTTTATTCTGTATGTCTTACATGTTTATAAAAATGCGTAAACAAGTAGGTATATAGGCAATGGCGATTTGACTGTTTTGCCAAGTACAGGCTGTTACATTTTTGCCGCCCTCTATAATTGTCAGTATCTACCTAAGGCTAAAATCCAACCATTTGGTTAAAATTGCATAATAAATGGTTTTTGGGTATATTCTAAGCTAATTAAAGCAATCTATCATGTTCTAAATTTTTACAAAATTTCCTTCTGATTTCTGAAGACGGCTAACAAAATTACCGCCCTAGGCTTACATTACGACCGTGATTTTTCAATTAAATGCCCATCTTTGGCATTGTTATTCAAAGAAACTGAAACTCTTCAACAATTTTGACTTCTTAGTGGAGAATAATTATAATATAGTGTAGTTGGTAATATTTTAATTATTCATTGAAATAAAGCCAAAATTTCGAAGCAAATTTTTAATAAAATGAGCGACGGCACTTTTTCAAGCTCATGGATTGAAATACTATACTAAGCAAACGAAATGAAAAATATATAATAATATCTAGTTGATCTAGTAAAACCATGAGGTGGTTGAGTTTATAGCGGCCTCGGAACTTGAAAATATGTAAATTGGATTTCTACAACAAAAAAAACCTTTTTAAAATCTTAAAAGTATTAAAAACGTTCAGAATTAGCTGTAAATATATCCTTACAACATTAATATTATTAAGTACAATTTATACCAGAAAATACGTCAGTTAAAAAGAAACATAATTAATTACTTTTTATTTTAACCAATCTATAGGTAGGTACATATAATAAAATTGTAACTAAGCCGAATCTGTTTCATTCAATATTTTTCAGGAAAATCTTATTAAAATAGACATTGTTATAGATACAGAAGCTGAATCTATAGTTTATAGAATTTTTGTGTGTCTTTCTGTGACCACATCACGGAAAAACCACTAAAGGGATTTTGATAAAATTTGGTTATTATAAAC